AACCTGTTAATGGATTACCATCAAACGTGAATTTAAAAAAAAATCGCTCTATGGCTGAGGTATCATTTTTTACTGCACGCAGTTGAGTTCCATCTAGTTTTAGTTGCTTTTTAGAGAATTGTCTTTAAAACACAGCTAGCTTAGAAAGATACAAATGAGAAAGATACAAATGTGCAAGTTTTAATGGGCAAATGAAGAAAAGGTATTTTATACAAGTGAGTCTTAAACGGGCGAGACATTTGATGAGTGCTTCCTTTATTTTGTGCGTCAAATACATGTAGATAAAGATTTTAAAAGCTTTTCACTCTAGTAATTATTTCTATCATTTGAGGGAAACCAAGAAGGAACAATGTTTTTTTTTTTTTTTTAACTTTCACTGTATATATTCATATTTTTTATCATTAAAGTTGTTATATGAAAATATTAAACTTTGTGTTGACTTGTGTTTTGTGTTGAAGATGATTTCTTGTATACCTCTTATTCGTAAACTCAGTTGAATTAATCAACAATTCATGGCAAATCTGATGGAAGATAGTATAAGTCCGTCATGAATGAGATAGTATCGTCCTATCAGAAAGTAAGATAGTTTTAGCCAATCATGAATGAGATAGTATCGTCCTATCAGAGAGTAAGATAGTATCAGCCAATCATGAATGAGATAGTATTGTCCTATCAAAAAGTAAGATGGTATTATCCAATCATGAGTGAGAAAGTATTGTCTTATCAGAAAGTAAGATAGTATTAGCCAATCAGGAATGAAATAGTATTGTCCTTTCAGAAAATAAGATAGTATTAGCCAATCATGAGTGAGATAGTATTGTCCTATCAGAAAGTAAGATAGTATTAGCGAATCAGGAATGAGATAGTATTGTCCAATCAGAAAGTAAGATAGTATTAGCCAATTACGAGTGAGATAGTATTGTCCTATCAGAAAGTAAGATAGTATTAGTGAATCAGGAATGAGATAGTATTGTCCAATCAGAAAGTAAGATAGTATTAGCAAATCATGAATGAAAAAATCTACTCACAAGTCCATAATATGTTTATAAATGAGAGTTTAATCAAACTGGCAATTACTTTTTTTTTTTATAGATTTGGAGCTCGTATTTAGAGTTTAGTATGGCGAAATGGAACCTGTAACAAACAGCCAAATGCTTGTTTGGTGGTGATTGGTACGCTAACGTCTGTATTATATTCTCCCAAATGTTTATATATTGAAATTCTCAAATTTCATACTATGAACGGTGGCTATAAACATGAAATATTGAGGAATCCCAAAGGAGAACAGCTTACGATGGGGAAAGAAAGTCTGCCTGTACAGATAAAATCAACATACATGTATGTTGCCTTGGATTTTGTTTGTTTGTTATATGTTTGTTTGTTTGCATTTGTTTGTTGGTTGTATGTTTGTTTGTTTTGTTTGCTTTTGTTTGTTTGTTTCATCTGTAGATCAACTAGATGCACCAATAATAAGTTAATAGGCACAGTGGGCTTCAAATGGATCAAGAACACACAAGTACTAAATATTAAAGTGCACATATCATATTTTATTTGATTCACAGCATGAACTATATTCACATGTCCAATGTTCAAATTAAAAGAACTGAGACAAACAGAAAGTGATAAACTTGTCAGACAGTTTGTACATGCTCAACATCTATTAAATAGTTTTACCTTGATGTCAATTAATGGAATGTAAATAAATATACACTTGATATTATATATTAATTATTCAAAAGATCGTTAATCCCCTTGTGGGATGGCTTACATCGTTCCAACCGGACTTCACGTTATCAGGTTACACAAACTTTCATGAAAACATAGCTCCTGATTCACGAAAGATAGGAATGTAAGGTTTGTGAAATGCACCTCTCTTACTGACAAAGTTTGGGGTTCAGTTTACCCTATACTTTCTGAAAAACCTTCAGTAAATCTACAAAACTTGCATACTTGACAGGACACTTTACACAAGGATAATCACACGAGTTCCTAAAAGGGCTAGCAATCGACGTTACCTTTTTGTGTGATCATGTTTTCAAAAATGCAAGGCCTACACATCATGTTTTTTAGCTTCATCTCAAAGGCCTTTTTTTGAAAAAATGGCATTATTTGAATTCAGCTTTTTCCCTACCTTTCCTACATAGAGGAGCAAATTTTTATGAATTTGGTGTAACCCTGACAACACGACGCACCAACCTTTTGTGAATATGAGGGTACGTTTCACGACAGTTCATGTAACCTGACAACCCGACCAGGGTGGTGTTTCACAAAGACTGAGATCAACTTTAAGTTGGACTTAACTATGGCAGGCCATTCATGTCACTGGTTGCTCTCACCATTGGTCTCCCAATTATGATCTTTAGATAATATTTTTTCCTTCAATAATGAACAATAAAAAAAAAAAAAAAGTAAATTCTGTAGATTTGTGACCACGATTTGTACGTCCCTTGAGATACCAATGCCAGAAACGGTTAGAGGAACTAGAGGTATAAACATCTGCCATAGTTGAGTCAAACTTAAAGTCGATCTTAGTCTTTGTGAAACACTCCCCTGACGCGAACACCCGATGGATGATATAAGCAGCAGCATAGGTATCGGATCACTACATTAATTGTGGTTACGAAGTCCCTTCTTACTGATTAGAACTGTACTGACATAATATCTGCTATAGAAAATGAGTAAGAATGAATACCATATTACTTTTAATTACCTTATTTCACCAAATACCATAAATGACCATGTTCTTTTTAAATACTTTTTCTAAAGCATCTCCATGTTACAAAACTCAAACTAAGAATTTTAGATACACAGTACATTATTTCTATAATTTTACCTAATACTAATATTATTATCATCATTATTATTATTACTAGTAGTAGAAGGCAGTAGTAAGTAGTCATAGTAGAAGTAGTAGTAGTAGTAGTAGCGTAGTAGACAGGAGGTTTAGAACAGGTTCAAAAACAATTTTCTGTATAACCATTGTCCACTAAACTTCAACTTCACATACCTAAAATATCTAAAACCATAATTTACATGGATTACATAAACATACATGTAATTGTTACTCTATATTTTTTAGAGCTATTCAAATTCAATCAATATACATTATTCCAATTTCTCCATGATATACACATTGATGCATCAAAATACATATATTTGCACCAAAAAATATATAATCTATACATATAGTTGTTTAAATATCATATTTTACAGCAATTGTCATACTCATGAATGCAATTCTAATCATATCACATGACACTTATATAATACACAATTATTGAAATGTGTAGATGTCCTATAAAGTAAATTTTAGATGCACCAATCTAGGCTTCAATATTATGTGGATATTGCTCTTTAGACGTGACCTCAAAGCTATCTGGACTTGCAACAAATCTATTCACAGGGAATTTGCAGTTCAAATTTCCCTTCAAATTTTTCATTGCAAAAGCAGGATAAATTTTGTCCACACTATTGCAATATTAGTCAATCGTGAGGAAGCCGGTGCAATAGTTTAACACGAAAAGAGGTCACAAGAACGAAAATGTGCATTTTGGGCATTAGGATATAAAGATGATTGATTAGTATGAAGAGCTTAATTCCAAAAGGAGATAAATCCACTTTTGATGAAAATTGAGTTATTGATATCAGAACATTGTTTACATAAGTACCTGTCTTTCAACAGAATTATTGACCTAAATTCTGGTAGTAATTATAAAAAAATGACGACTGTACAAAATCTGGTAAACAATTCCTTTTTTCTCTGAAGTTACAAAAATGGAATTAGCTCTTTTTGGAATTAAATTCTTCTTTATGTATAGATGACAGGAAGACATTAATTTCCTTTATAGTTTTACAACTTCCTTCATTAAATGTTGTTAGATTGGGCAAACTTGCGTTACAGGTCATGAATAATTTGTTATCATCTAGTCAAAACAAGTCATGATTCATAAGTTATGTTTGTTGTAACTTGACTCACATGGCAAGCTACAAGTAAAGCATTAAAGCTAAAGACCAGTTATGGCCATGCGATTGCATTGTGAAAGAAACGTTGTGAAATCGATCAGAAAAGGTTGATCATCTAGCATAGATGTACTGCAAGGTTCTGGAATCATCAAAATGATAAGAAATTTGGCCAAGTCTTCATAAAGTTAGAAGCACTGTACACAGAAAGATATATATGGAACTACACACACGTGCACGACACATGCATTTCATATCTCTCAACAGGCAAGAGATACACTAATTTACCAAATATATCAATTAGTAGGCGGTTTCCCACCAACATTGTTATCATCATGTAATATTCAAAACATATTCTTTCACATGATTGGTAATAAGAGCTTCCATTTCATTTTTTGAAATTGGGGCGTTTCCAATACTGGTCTTTACCTTTAAGGGTTTATTGCCATTTGGTCTGCAACCAGTTCATGTACTACCCAATTAGTCTATTCCCATCTGGTCTACACCCAGCCGTCTACTATCCACATGGCCTAATGATCATTTAGTGTTAATTTAGTCTAATAACCAGCGACAAATAGTCTAATTCCCAGTTCGTCTAATACCCATTTGGCCTACTATCCATAGGGTCTAATTATCATTTGATGATTATTATAATTATTTATGATTAAAGATGAAGTTGAGTTCTGGTCATGCGATTGCATTGTGAAAGAAACGGTGTGGAACCGACCAGAAAAGGTTGATCATCTAGCATATAAGAATTTGTGTGTATTGCAAGGTTCTGGAATCATCAAAATGATAAGAAATGTGGCCAAGTCTTGGTAAAGTTACAAACACTTGCACAGAAAGATGTATATGGGACTACACGAACACGTGGCGTAAAAAGCCGGCCCCCGATTTTTACGATGTTACATGTATATTTAGAATATGAAGGCATTTGAAGAGCCAAGCTTTTCAGGGAACATGTCTTAACTGATGTTCTTCCACACTTGCATAATAAGAATGAGTAATGCTCACAAATTATTTTTCACCTCTTCCCAGAACTCAACCTTCTCTTTAAATGATTATTGGACCATATGGATAGTAGACGAAATGGGAATTAGACTAACTGGCTGTAGACCAAATGGCAATTCACCGCATTAAGTACATCATATCTGTATGTATAAAACAAGACTCTTTATTATACGTCTTTAATTACAGATAACTTTTATTTCTTGTCCGAGGGTGGTCCACAATGGGTTTTAACATGTAACAATGACGGGTTTGAATTCTCATTATAAATGTTTGAAAATCAACAACAGGTTAGAATTATTCAGTTATTATTAAAAATGTTGCTTGAAAATGCTTCAAAATATGGCTCAGATCGCAACAGAATGTATAAAAGAACCTTAGAGTCCTTAAGAAAATAAGCATAAGATGTTAATTCCTTTTTATCCAAAAGTTGTTGATAACCGAGTGGTCTCTTGACCTCTATGGATGTGTTGGGGGTCAAAGGTCGTCACCTGATGCAAAGGTCAATGGATCATAGGTCGTTGTTACGGATGAACCTGTTTCCTTCTGAGTGGCGGCCATAGTAGACATATTTGCAGCGTCCATACGTACCTGGATAAAAAAGAAAACATGATTAGACATTAATGACAATACTTTCTAACAGCATTCTTGTCTCTGCATTACTATCACATATCAGGAAAGAAAAGTATTCAACCGGCTTTACTTGACTTTACAAAAAATGACTCTGAACTACTACATAATCATCATTAATCTTTTAATACACACAGATGTTAGTACAACAACAATTTTGAGAAAATAAACCCTTTATGGCCAGTCCTAGCCAAAACACCTTCATGTAAATCACTTGAGATTTATATGCCTATTTGTTATGCCTAACAAGGGTTTATAGCCCTATGCTTATTGCATTATTTCAGCATGTTTTGGAACAAAGCCCACCACGCACAAGACTAAATAATGACTAAAGGAAGACAATATACTTCAGTCAAATACCACAAAACAAATAGGCTTCATTTATCATCTAGACTTGCGTTGGTATATATCATCACGGGTCAGGGGTCAACTACCATCATATCAGTCTCTGTATTTTGGTTTATTCCGTTGTCTTTTCTATTCTTATCACAGTTATCTGATGATACAATGTTTTTGTTGCCCAAAGTATTTAAAGGGGAAGTCTACCCTCATATTAAATTGGGACATTAGAGAAACAATTCAGTGAAAGTTTGAGAAATATCGGACAACAAATAAGAAAGTTATGAATCTTTCAAAATCATGGAATCTTTGAGTCAATTTGGCAATACAGTCAGAAATTGTGATGTCATCCCCTCACAATTCATCACTGATCTGAATGACAGAATGACCACAAATCTCTATTTCTCTGAATGTTAATTGAATAGTAGACCTATCTTATATGGAGGTGCACGAAAGAACATGTTATTCGTGATATATGATTGAGATAGGCATGAAGAAAATATATCTTTTGATCAAAATGGAATTAAATGACATTTCTTGCATTCAACAGAGGCTAAAATGTGAGGGGTTGACATCATATTTAGAGACCGCGTTGCCAATTCGACTCAAGATTTGAAGTATCTCGTAAAAAAAACATAATTTACTAATATATTTCTGATTTTTCTCAAACCTTCACTGATCTGTTCTACACACTTTTCTTCTTGTATAAACCAAGCCCATTATTAGGGTAGACTTCCCCTTTAAAGTGTACCAACTACCAAAAAGTATTTTGCTTTGTATGTAATGGGGGTTTCACGTCGCTATACTATTGAAAACATGAGCTTCATATATTATGTCTATAAAGAGATAAAAAGAGATAAGGCAAGTGTAAATACTCTCTCAATTATAAACACAAAAGCGACTTTTTAGTAGTCTATTCAACAAACCCGAACATGTTCAAATAGAAAAGGGCCTGTACGGAACCCAAGTCCAACTTGGGTTCCGAGCGCAGGTTTTTATGTTATCAGTTATTTTCTTCATACTCATTATCTGTTTGATAGCCCATAGGATGCCAGATCAAGAGGGTTTTTTTTTTGACTTATGATGAATTATTTTTTCAGGTGATCGGTTCACTACAAAACAAGTTCAAATTCCATCTCCATCAATACCAACTATTTGTACTTAACATGTAGACTGTTGGGTAAACTAGACAGTCAAAAAGATTGTAAAGATTTATGAGTGATGATAAATCAAATCAAAGCATAAATAGGACAATTTTTTTTCTTTTTTCTAGAACATCCCCCTTTATATTGTATTTTGATGAGAAAATTACACTCCAGTCTACTGCATGTCAGGGCTATGGTGTAACACTGGAGTAGTCAGTTGAAATTCCTATGTAAACAAAAATCTGTGATGTTTACTAGCAGACGTTATCAGTGCACAGTGCATTTCAAGATATAATCACGTACCAAGTTACCTCATCTTTCCAAATTCCTAGAAAAAAACCCTGGTATATGTCATAATACCATAAAAGTGACAGCTTACACAGGAACTGAGCTCATGGACTTTAGAGTTATTTATAATGCCTTTATATTTTGTTTAAAGTTTGGTTTCAGGCAAGCCCTTACACGGATTTTAACCTCCAATGTATAAACATTATGCTTTGATTTCGTATCACATGATGTCATAAACCATCATTAGAAATTAAAGGAAGCCATGTCACATTTAAACATGATACATGGTTGGAAAGCATATCTGTGCAGCATGTACTGGCAGATCACAATATTATGTACACTCTAATCTGTATGTGAGGATGTGTAAAGCCTTGTTTAGATGAGGAGGCAAAACCGCCACAGCTTTTTATGATGACGTAAAGATAAATATGCTTCGCATTTCTGTATTTGATAGTATACACAGAGCTCAGTGAATATGTGCAGGACCTTTGTTGTATGCACCAAAATTTACTTTTATACAGGTTTTGAAAAAAAGTGGTGGCTTTTTTGCAGTGGTTTACCATGTCAAATCTGAACGGGCCTTAAAGAGAAGGTTGAGTTCTGGGAAGAGGTGAAAAATAATATGTGAGCGTCATCATTGTTATCATGCAAGTGTGGAAGAACATCAGATAAAAAATGTTCCCTGAAAAGCATGGCTCTTCTAATGCCTTAATATTCTTAATATTGCATGAAACAGCACGTTTGTGTAGTCCCATATTCATATTTGTGTATACAGTGCTTGTAACTTTACCAAGACTGGGTCAAGTTTCTTATCATTTTGATGATCAACCTTTTCTGATCGATTCCACACCGTTTCTTTCACAATGCAATCGCATGACCAGAACTCGACTTCATCTTCAAGTGATGTCAACTGCACATTTCATTTTGTTTTGCTGCAGAGGTTACTCTAATGCAGTTATTAATTCACATAAAAACAACCCTTATCCTCAATTCTACATATCACACTCTTCTTATAACTACATGTATATCACACTGCGCTCTTCAAGAATAGGTTTCAGTTGCTTAATGTCTTCAATTCTCTTGCAAAGTTCTAGTTGTGTAATTAATTTTGAAGTGAATTATTTCCTTGTTCTTATGGTGATAAAGGTTTCAATTTCTAGAGGAAATTGATAAGAGCAATAAAGTTCTGGATTTATCCTGTATACATGTAGCGCAATTTCTTCAGCGCTTTACAGATCTATATATCATTAACCCAGTCTTCGGATTCAGGCTTGCCTGGACACAATACATGCACAATCTCCACTCGCCACGTGCCATTTTACAGATGCTCAGAATGCTGAGCAAACTAAAATGACTTTCACATCCTACGGGGTACCTGTTTACCACCAGGGTGGAGAGAAGCAATGTAGATAAAATGCCTTGCCTAAGGACATAAGATTAGAGACGTGTGAAAGGGTTATTACCTTGAGGATTGCCATCTGTATTTCTTGCTTGTGATGGCAGAGGAGAATAGAGAGTGGAATTGGAAGATAAGGCATCCTCCGCATCATCCTAAATAAAAAAAATATTGATAAAAAAAAATTGACCCTCGGTATTGGTGTAATTTGTGTAATTGGTAACATACAGTCCTCAAGAGGGTGACATGCATTGATTAAACATATATTCATCTCACCAGCTGGTGAATATACATTGTAACTATCGAAAGTGACCGGTCAGGAAAATATAACAATTAAGATCCTCCCAATTGACATCACATGACGAGCTCTGGACCAATCACATCTAAGTATCTGTCGAAGCTATCTAATATAACATAATATTATTGATAATAATAATGGTTTATCTATTCAGAAATATGCATCGCAGCCTGAGGGCTGAATTGTACACAATTTTCAGAAAAGTATACATGATCAAATAATACAATAAAAATTGAATCACAACAAAATATGTAAACATTCTGTATGCAGTTGTAAATTACCCATAAAGATAATACACACATGTGAGTCTACCATTATAGGTTAAGTTCCAAATAACATAAAGGTTGTCCGTATAAGGAAGAGTCAGGCATAAGCATGCTCCTTTTCGAGAGAGATGAAAATCTATCCCTATGGAAAGATGTGTTATCCATTTTTATTAAAACTCCCAAATGTTGTGATTCAACTTTAATATGCAGTCCGACCTGTCTTTAATAGTGGCTTCCTCTCTATAAAGTCCACCTCTCTCATGTCTCTATAGTGGCCATCCATTCTGTCCCCCCCCCCCACCATAGAAAGAGAAATATGTTGTGGAACCTGTCTATGAAGGCCACCTGACTACAGAGACCACTTCTTCTATTTCCTTTGGGTGGTCTTAAAGCCTATCTGCACTAGTTCGGCCAAGAGGGATTAGACCTCTCCTCGTGGTCACCAGGTGGCTATCTCATCAAATCAGCTCTCAGTTGACATAAGAAAAGGGGGATCATGGGGACCAACAGGCACCGATTAGGCATTGTTTGCTATATAGAGGGCGCAAGTAGCTACAATTAGTGCAGTCCCGCTTTAAGAGATGAAAAATTATCCCTATAGAAAGATGTGTCCTCCATTTTAATAAAAAGAAAAAAAAAAATTGATTCAACTTTAATATACAGTTAAACCTGTCTTAGTGGTCACCTCTCTTTAGGGGCCATGCATTGTCTCCCTAGAGAAAGAGAAATATGTGTTGCGGAACCTGTCTAGAAAGGCCACCTGACTACAGAGACCACTCACTCTATTTCCTTTGGGTGGCCTTAATAGACAGGTTTGACAGTACAGTCAAACCTGCTTTAGTGACCACCTGAATAGAAAGATCGCCTGTCTACAAGGACCACATTTTTTGTTTCCCTTGATAATGGTTTTTCATTGAAACATGTACTAAAGGAACCTGTACATAAAGACCACCTGTCTACACAGACCACTCTTTCTATTTCTTTTGGGTGACTTTAATAGACAGGTTTGACGGTACTTGAAACTTGGCACAATAATTAGAAGACTTACCACATCAGCAGGTCTGGCTACCTTCATCAGTGCACCTATTCTCTTGGCTTCATTTCTCTCTTTCACTGATACTGCTCTGTGGTCGAGAAACCTCAAGGTAGGAATACTGTAGATTACAAAATATCTGGAAAGAAAAGCCATATATATCTCAGTGTTTTTATATTGATATCAAATGAACTACTTTCAAAAAATAAATCTAAGGCAATTTCAATAACCTTGCAAATTCTGTTTTGTACCCACATGCTTTGTTTTTTTAATTCAAGTCGTTGCTAAGATTATTTTTAAGGTATGAATGTGTTAGCAAAGAATATAATACTTAGCTTAAAGAATTGTTGAATATACTTTAATTTTTAACCCATGTTATGTTTCACTCAATCATTGAGTAATTAATGTAGGTATATATTAAAATTATGAAAATAAAAACCTCGCTTGAGGATAAGAGAAAAAAAGAAAGAAAAACCTTGCACATTACCGTTTGAAATGTGCGACATGACAATTAATTATTTTGAATCTGAACGATTTTTATGGGATGTATGAAAGGATATTGAAGTTGGGCTTGAATTGACTTTTCGAAAATAGTTGCGATAGTGTTTACTGTCTAACCCACTCAGTCAAAAGGTAGCTTAAATGCTAAGAATCTCAAATCAGACAAAATAAAGTCTGTTATTACAAAATAAACAAATTACATCACACCGCCTCTCAGATTGGCATGTCTTTAAAGGGAAAGTCCACCCCCAAAATAAGTTTGTTTCGATAGAGGCAGAATAATAAGAAAATCAGGTGAGTGAAAGTTTGAGCAAATTCTGAATGAAAATAAGAAAGTTATGAATTATTGAAGTTGTGATCAATCAAATACAAATTGGCAACTCTGTGACTTATTATACGAGCTCTCCTTCATTTGCTTTGTGCATAATATTCCATAAAATCATGTTTTCTTCGTTATTGATGACGGAATATATTTTTGTTCCTTGCAGGGGGAGTATAGAAACATATTTGCAATTAATATATTTAGGGTGCATGTATGGTTGAAATTTTTCTTGAGGGAAAATGAAAATTTTAGATTTTTTTAGTACTGAGCAAATGGAAGTTGAGCTCGCATGATACGTCATAGAGTTGCCAATTTGTGTTTGATTGATCACAACTTCAAAAATCTTAACTTCCTTATTTTTAATCAGAATTTGCTCAAACTTTCACTGACTTGTTTCTCTCATTTTTCTACTCCTATTAAAACTAACTTAATTTCAGGGTGGACTTCCCCTTTAAGTAGTCATAACAGTAATTACTGTTATTTGTTATGTTAAAGAAAATAATAACATGCTGTGAATCACAGTAGTGTTTTTTACTATATTGCTCTATAAGATATCACATGACGGTTTGAATAAAAAGATAATAACATGTCGAGAACTACAGTAGATTTTAACCATGCTTTATTAGACATCACATTATGCTGTGGCTAATTTTTAGAAACATGCCAATCAGCTGAGGGAATAATGGGGTAAATACACAATGGTTGCCAAACAGAGAAGTGGAATGACACGTACCTGTATCTTTGATAGTCTTCTTCATCTTTCTCCGAGCTCGAGAGCTCATTAGGGCAAGCTTCGTTACCAAGGAGACTGAGGAATGTGAGAGAGGGAACTGACATCTGAAGTTTCTCCACTAGAATGTTGATATCTGATATGTATGCCAAGTTAAGGTCTTTTTTTATTACATGAATATGATGTTGTGGGTAGCTGTACAGGCACAAAGCTTTTTTTAATAATCAGAAGACATGATTAAAGAGTCAAAACTACTCAAGACTGACTTGTACAGTAAAGGGTAGGAGTGAAATACATTTGCATCAATTAGATATAATTAATGATAATAATATTCAGTTCATGTATAGAGCATTACACATTATACAACGTCCCTATGCGCTTCCAAAGAGCTTTGTAAATTATTACTGTAGCTTTAGCCCTGGCAGCCGTTATCAGCATTAACGCTTTGGCAAAGGACATTAGTGCCTCTGTGGGACTTGAACCGTGGACCTTATGATCCACAGTTTGGTGACATATTCACTTAACAACAACACCTCTATGATCATTGCATCAAAGAACAATTTTTTATATGACCATCTCAAAGACACAAGTCAGAATCAAATTCGGGGTTTTAGTTTGCAGGATCTTTTCATGATCTTAGTTTTAAGGCACAAGCCCTCGTTAGTCGTAATGCAAAACAGAGGGTCTGAGCAGGGAGACTACACAGAGTGTGTAATTCGTGTTTTTACAGACGTGTATCAATCAGATATGATTATTTACGTCTGGGGACTGACCTTTAACTATCGTCACCATCCGAAAGTCGTGACTCAGTTTCGAACCTGGGTCCGATCAGAATCAGTTTGAGAGCTGACCGCAGACATTACCAGTAGACCAACTCACATCAGAGTTGTTGTTTTTGTTTTAGTTTTTATTGGCGTGTATCATTCATTTATGAATATTTACGCCAAGTTAGTATGTTGGCTCTGCTCAAGACTTTATGGAATTGTATTTGAGGAACAAATTAAAGTCTGTGCCAGCAGACTAGGTCAATGTAATTAAAAAAAATAAGAGAGATCATCTAATGTAGGCATGAAGGCAACTACACTTGATAAAAGACTATGCTTGCTAATTATGACGACATAATCTATAATTGTTTTTTTAATTTTTTTAATTTATTTATTCTCCACTCATGGGATGGATTGCCCTTGTCAGCTATAAGCTGTTTTTCAAAGGGGTAAAAGGTGAAACAGAAACGATGTCACAAGATTTACAATTTTTATATGAAGCAATTACACTTCATGATGAGAGACTGATCAATACAGCTTTCACTTTTATTATCTAAGGGTTGGTATCTAAAATAGGTTCTCAAGATAAATTTATCATAATTTTGCATCTAAGGGGTTCAAGAGGAAGGAAAATGAATCAAGGAAAACTATTTTCACATAGCTACTAGCTGTGGTTTCATCGTGAAATGATACATGGTTTAAAAATTGTTTATGATAGTTTATGATTTAAAGAAATAAAGCATGAGGTGACATAACTGAAAGATCTTTTTTCGAAATGGCAAAAATAACAGTAAATGATAGTCATTTTTTTTAATATAGACAACTTCTTAGGTACAAAAACAAAAGTAATGAGATGAATTTAAATTAATTTTAAACCCTGATTGCAATGGTAAAAATGAACCAAACAAAAACCTTATACCAGTGTGTCGGGAAGAAATCTGACTTTTATTACAGCTAATCCATAAAAAGTTAGAAAGTCGCCTGGACAATTTAAACTTTTCCCCAGTTCATGTTTATAGCATGTTTATTTACACATATGTACATACATGTATATCGCATGTTTATACAGTGTAGCATGTTTATAACATGTACATATATGTTGATGGATCTTTACAAAGCGCACATAATGATTTTATGCATGGCAGGTATATAAAACAACATCTACAAAGAATGATGATTGAGTAAGGTAGGATATCAACAATGCCATTTCCTACGTATTAATCAAATATTGCAATACTAACAACAACAATAATAATGCAAAAAACAACTACCAGTACAACAACAACAACAGCAATAATAATGATAGCCTCATCAGTATTAATAATATTCTCCCTGGGGGCCCTGCAATCATATTATCACCCTCACTTTAGCAGAGCTACAATTATAAGGTGCTCAAGCATTCAACAACATTATTCCGACCAGGTACCCGTCTACTAGAGACTTCGGTGGTAAGCGCTTTATAAGTAACGTTTTTATTATTATTTATTATTATTACTACTCTTGGGTGGAGAGTGGCAAATGTAGATCAATTTCTTGCCAAATTACATTAGTCCTTTACTACCCTATAACCTGATTGCTATTACAAGAGAGTGCTGTAATTAACTTGCAAGAGCTACCGGTACTTACCCACCTTTGCAAGCAGCCTTTATGATTATATTATTTAAAAGTGAAGGCGGTCATTGTTGCTTCGCGGCAGACAGCTACTACTTCTACTACCTGATTGTTTTTATAAAGGATATTGTGTTTTTGTTCATGTGCAGTGTATGAAGGTGGGGCATGAGAGGAACGTGAAGAGAATCATCCAGAGCGTTGTTGTCCATCACCAGCTCCTCAAGCTGAGGGAATCTCTCCAAACCCTTCAAAGTTCTGTAAAGATCGTAACAAAACATAATAATAATTTTTGTTTACCCGGGAAAGTATTAACCAGCATCATGGCTGTTCTTCCTGAGGGCCCTGCAGATATTATTACCCCAGCTATTGCCAGGAACTCATTTACACCTGGGTGGAGAGTGGAATATATGGATTGAAATGTCTTGCCAAATTAGTCTACAATGAAAAAATGAATCATTACATTTACAAAATTTCTGGCACAGATCTTTTCTTCTTTAAATGTGGTTATTTTAAATGGTATTTACAATGGAAAACTATAGCTTTAAAAAGTGAATTTTCCAACTTTCTTGCAAGTTGGAGTGAGAAAATGCTGGTAGCTTACGTGATCTGGTTGAAGCTGAGGTCCACCCTTGTGACCTTTGACCCGTACCATGTGCCGAGCTCCTCTGGAATCTTCACACATGCATGCTCTATGTAGGAAAGCTGTTTAGATAGCAAAAGAATCAAATAAACAATAATGTGAATAACTATTTGTTACCCAAAAGTTAACAAATTGCGTACATGTAAGCTTTGATGGATGAATCCTTCATTCATTTTACACAGATTTCAACTACCGGTACATGTTGACTTGTAAACCCTATTCTAGACTTGGAAATCCTAAGATCTTACACAACAGGATCTCGAGTTGCAATGTAGTGCTAAAAATCGCATGTTGGTCACTTATGACCAACAGATATTACATACACTGTACACTCATATTCATCTATGGAGACATTGTATTAAGCGCTATATAAAAGCGTGCATGAAGTTATCAATCGTAATGATGAATTGCTCATGAATTTTACGAGGATCTGAGATGACAGTCGTTAACTTCACATAGGCGCGCGCCCGGCCCCACACCCCACCGTCGGTAGGCTATACAATATGCAATATTATTGTGCAGGGGTTTGCTGTGAAACCTGTGAGAAAGTATTATATATGTCTTTGTTTTTAGGAAAAATACTCCAAAAAAGATAAGAAAATTGACACAAAAGGGGTAAGACACTAACAACTTTTTAATCATGACCATAACTTGAACAATTGATGAAGAATTAGTCGCAAACTGACAATTTAACTTATATCTTGGAAGATGACCGGGAGACCTACAGGACTACCTCACTCCTGTATATCGCTGATGATGATGATGGTATCTCCACGCCGGAGCTGAGTTACAGGTCAAAGTCTGGATACGAAAGGACACTAGCGCCAAAAAGGCCCAACGAGGGGGGGGGGGGTACTCACTTATAATAAGACATACTGGGTGTGCCGCTCTAATGGGTCACTTTTTCACAAAAAATCTTAACATGGGTCTCATTTTTCAAAATTTTCAAAATTTCCAAATTTGGCAAACATCCGAAAATTGTGAAAAATGGGCTTCGAGAAAATTCCCCAAAAGGTCAAATGACCCTTAAAAATGGGTGGGGGTTTCGAGGCTTGAGCGGCACACCCCCGTCCAAACCAAATCTGAGTACCCCCCCCCCCCGAATAAAGGTAGACTAGATCTTAAATTAAATGGAAATACAATTTAATTGAAGTCTTTGTTTTCTTTATCAATATCACTCCATAAATGTCGGTATATGGGGCTGTACTGTGGCGCAGGCAACTGACAACAAATCAAAGATTACAACCGATGTTACTTTACTCACGTGTGTGCCTTCCACGATAGGTCCTAATCTTTCGTTAGAATCCTGTTCACTATGACTCCCATTTTCTTGAGCCTGACTGGGTTCGTACATTTTGATAGTCAACAGCCAGAGAATAATCCACAAAGACAAAATACGAAGTTAGTTGGAACGAAGCTGGATCAGTGTGTTTTGCTAATTGTCTGTCGGAGGATGATAGATGGCGCTCGTGTCAAAATATTAACAGTAAAAAAAAAGGTCACGAGATGATAGGAGCAGCGTGGCGGGGACAAAGGAGGCCATACCCCCCCCCCCCCCCCTTACTCCCCTTTCGTCAGGCGCATACGTCAGCTGGATTATTCTTGTCTACGGCCTGAAATGAGACAACCAAGAAACTGATATATTTACAGTTGAATTGTTGAAACTAAAACTAAAACAAGAACATAAAAAACAAGCACTCTTCGCTTCAGCTTCTAGTTGTGTTGTGTGTGATCCATATAGCTATTATCTCTATGGTGTGATCACACTTTTTGAACAAAAGTTTCTCTTGACTACTAAACGGCATGTCCCTATATTTATCAATGGAAAATTGATATTATCTATACGCGCATATCGTGGAAAATATTGTGAGAGGATGGCAAAGTATGTGAGGTTTTTTTTTATTATAGGGGTGAGAAGAAATGAGCCCCTGAACACTGGCGTACTGATGGGGGGGGGGGCAGATGCCCCTAAATCAAATTCAAAAGTTGTTTATTTCTAATTATTTCTAAACAGAACCTTGTTATTCCTGGCTAATTTTTCTTGATTGAGGTGTCATATAAAAGAGCAGAAAATGAAATTTCTAGAAATGTGAATTTTTCTTCAAAATTCAGACACCGCCCGCCAAATGACTTTTTGGTTTCCCTCCTCCAAATTGCTTTTAATCACTCATGCTTGAAATATGCATCATCTGAGTTACATCAAGTGAAAGAGGAGGATCTAAGCCTTACAAATATGTCATGTATTAATTATAACTGTGATTAAGTTATGATAAAACATCAATAATTCTCCGTTTCGTTTTCTCTGGGTCGCACTGTATTTATGAAAAGGAGAAAACGGGAAGATATATACAAAAGGATGGACTCGAGCGAAGGCGCAAAATGGGAAAAAAAATCACAGAGAAAAGTTGAGAAGGAAGAAATATATATGTAGGGGGGATGGTGATGGGGAAGAAATAGAAGAGAAAAAGAAAAGAAAACTTACAATAGAGCAAAACAAAACGAGCGAGTTTGCAAATAAATGAAGAAATGTGGTAAGTTAAGGGCCAGTCTGGAAAAGAGGGGGAGGGGGGGGGGGGGGGGGGTAGACAATGAGGCAAGGAATGTGTAATTACATACTATCATTATGTGATGGCATCGTTTATACATTAAATATTTTCAGCATAATTACTCAATAAATGTAATTTCAGGTTGCGTCAATAAAAACAGAGACACTGACAGAACAAGTTACATCAATAAGAAGTGAGTTCCAAAACTTAGGACCAGTAAAAGCTAATTTATTCAAAGCAACCTTGATGAATCACAACATTAGTATTAGCACGATAAGTTACATCAAAAACAATTCTAATCACCCTTTTCTGAGTGACAATCTTAAAAATCAGAGTAGGTCTAGAGTATTATTTTTAGACATAACTTTTTATCAAACCTTGTGATCTCCAGCGGCAGGAAAGTAAAATAAAGTAAGGGCATTGGGCTAGAGCCCACGAGACCGACAGCCTACATAATATATTTGAATGTTATATATTATATATTTGAATGTTATATATTATATATTTGAATGTTATATATTATATATTTGAATGTTATGTATTTGAATGTTATATATATATATATTTATAATTTTGATATATAGGCCTAATATAACAAAATGATAATACTAGTATTAATCTTCGGTTATTCTTTCTTTCTTTCTTTCTTTTCCAAAAGAAAAACAAATCCTGCGCACATAATATACCGAATACTCTTCTTTATGTACGTACTTCCAGTATTTGCGGTAAAGGTAAATGTCTTAGCAGTCAGGTAAAATAACCAACACCATCAAGTAAACTGGTACGGACGGTATGATAAACCATATATTCCATTCTTATATTACGCATTGCATAGCCTACACGTACCTATACCGCTTTCAAAATATACACAATCAATTATCGTCAAGTCGGCCGTCGGCGCGGTGTAATCCTATGTTCCGCCAGGTATTCTGCTACACTACAGTGATAAATTCGACATTTCAAACTTGATGTTGGTGAGTGTTGTAGCGAGAAATACATATTTTATTAACTCATGTAATTTTTATATCGAAAAAGGTGAGGGATAGATGAGTTTCGACATATAAGTTTGACTTCTGCGATTGCGGTAGATAGATATGTCAGTCCCGCGTGATTATATTCTTGTGTGTTTTAACTTCGATTTGGATCAAGATGAATAGCGCAGCCTCTCCGGCCTCGCGCCTCAGCCTCGGGCTCAGCTCGGGCTCGCGCTCGGGCTCGCGCTCTGGCTCAAGCTCAGACAGAAAAAATAGGGCAAACCCGGACTTTAGTGCCCAGCTGAAAATCTCAGTTTATTATGGATTTAATATCAATAATATTAATTATGCTAATATATGCAAATATAAACATACCAAAACTTGATGATTTTTAATCATTTGACGTCATAAAAAGCAATTTTAAGCCAAAAATAGCAGCGAAGTAGGGGATCTCCTCTTTGCTTGATGCGAGATACTAGCGAACTGAAATAACCGAATAAAAACTATGGTGAACTAAAAAAAGAAAAGAAAAAATCAAACCACCTCTGAAATTACCTTTGAAATGTTTATTAATTTTTTCTTCCGATATGCGCACATGATAGGGGCAGGTTGGGATGGGATGGGGGGGGGGGGTGCTCAATAGTCGCCAAATTTGGGGTAAAAGGGCAACTGGCCTTGGGGGGGGGGCTAAATTTATTATTTACTTATTTTTCTTTGTAATCATTTTTCTAATTTTTTTCCGGGGTGGCTCTTTTCTTTATTCTGCTTCTTCTTTCTTTCTCACCAGATATGCACGAAACATTGGGGGTTTGAAGAGATGACACACCCCCCCCTTCCTGATGGGGGCGCCAAATTTAAGGGTTATTTTAATCTTTCTTTCTTTTTCTCGAGCCCCCCCCCCCCCCCGGAAAAAAAGTTAGAAAAATGATTACAAAGAAATAAAAGTAAATAATAAATTTAGCCCCCCCCCCCCCCCAGGCCAGTTGCCCTTTTACCCCAAATTTGGCGAGTTTTCAGCACCCCCATCCCATCCCACTCGCCCCCTCGATGCGTGCATGCCTATTAAAGAGAAAGGGAGAAAGGGACGGGGGGGGGGCAGAGAAAAAGAAAGAAAGATTAAAATAACCCTTAAATTTGGCGCCCCCATCAGGAAGGGGGGGGGTGTCATCTCTTCAAACCCCCAATGTTTCGTGCATATCTGGTGAGAAAGAAAGAAGAAGCAGAATAAAGAAAAGAGCCACCCCGGAAAAAAATTAGAAAAATGATTACAAAGAAAAATAAGTAAATAATAAATTTAGCCCCCCCCCCCCCCCAAGGCCAGTTGCCCTTTTACCCCAAATTTGGCGACTATTGAGCACCCCCCCCCCCATCCCATCCCAACCTGCCCCTATCATGTGCGCATATCGGAAGAAAAAATTAATAAACATTTCAAAGGTAATTTCAGAGGTGGTTTGATTTTTTCTTTTCTTTTTTTAGTTCACCATAGTTTTTATTCGGTTATTTCAGTTCGCTAGTATCTCGCATCAAGCAAAGAGGAGATCCCCTACTTCGCTGCTATTTTTGGCTTAAAATTGCTTTTTATGACGTCAAATGATTAAAAATCATCAAGTTTTGGTATGTTTATATTTGCATATATTAGCATAATTAATATTATTGATATTAAATCCATAATAAACTGAGATTTTCAGCTGGGCACTAAAGTCCGGGTTTGCCAAAAATAGCTTGCTTGGAGGAGTATTTAAAAAAAAGGATTTTGTCTTTTTACGCTCTCCTCCAGGAGTGAGATTTATTGAAGCAAGGCATAACTTACTGATCTCATATTTCAAACCCTCAAATTTTTCCTATTTAATTATTCATTGGTCCGATTTATTTCAAACTTTCGCGATTCTGTTTTTCTTTATTTTTCTGCTTTCAAACAAACTTATAAAATACAAAGGTTGGATTGCCCTTTAAGGAGCTAGTATATGAGTATACAATTAATATCCCTTTACGCGTGTACACTGTAGGCTAAATGAATACGATTTAGGGCAAATGAAATGATAATCAGATTTATTTACGTGGTGAGTTGTTGTTGACGAGGATGCAAAGAGACATGAGAGAGCGAGACTGAGACTCTGAGAGAGTGGAAGAAATCCATACTCCATAGGTAGGAAGAGGAGGTGGGTAGGGCAGCTAACAGTAACAGAGAAGAAAACATTAGAAGAGAAAGTAAGTAGGCCTAAGGAGTAAGGTTATGTGATACATACAATGCTGTTGAGTGGCTTGCACTGACTGGGGACAAAATAATATTTCAGTTTAATGTTCAATTGTTCGTTTGAATTCGAAAAGAATCACATTCTCATGTAGATCTAGTCTACATCATCTGGCTCCCCCTTGTTTTTTTGGTTAATATGATTAATATCGTAATACGGCAGTATATTCCATTATGGCTCATTATGTTAATGAGTGGTATTTATTATTTAAAGAACAACACTTTCATGAGTGTTCACATGATAATATATTCTATGTTATTTATATTATTAAGAATTGAATTAAGTTCACATAGAAGTACAAATTTTCCATTTAATTTCGATTGATGCTCTATATTCTACATGGATATTTCTTTACTGATAGTTATGGATACAGTCATACTTATATGGATTCTTCTTAAGCCTCTTTTTTCATTCTTGTTGTTCAGTTTGGATCATGACCGGGTGGGTCGAACTTGGCAAAGTCACTTCTCCAGCACTTGTCCAGACTATTTTCAAAACTGTAGACACTAGCTGGCTGCATTAACTAGATCTTGTTTCCTCATTCATATGTAAAAGGAGTGTTTACATTTCTCAGTGATAAACCTTAGACTATATACAGCTTTTTACTAATTACTATGTCCTCTGGTTGGCCCAT